AACTCAAAAAAAAAAAAAAAAAGAAGTGGTTCTTGTGTTCATAGAACAGCAAAGAGGATACCGTGCTTAGAGTGGACCAAGTGATGAAGGGAAGACATCAGAGAGATTCAGAGAAAGGGGAGGATTATGCAAGGATTTGTGCATTATTATAAAGACTTCTGGCATTTAACCTGAGTGATTTAACTCATTAGAGGGTTCTAAGCAGAAATCGAGCATGATCCAACTTTTGCTTAAAGTTACACAAGGTAGTAAGTCATACACGAGGTAACAGTGGTTTGAACCAGGAAAATAACAAGGAAGATGATGGGAAATGGTCAGATTCTGGATACATTTTGAAGGTAGAACCATTAAGATGATTTTGTGAAAGATTTTATAATGAACATAAGAGAAAAAAAAAGAACAAATCTAATTTTTGACTCAAGTAAATAAAATAATGGAGTTGCCATAAAATGATATGGTTTGGTGGGAACGACCAGGAGTTCAGTTTTGGATATGTTAAACTAGAGATATCTACTACATTTCCAGATGGAGATGTTGGATGGGAAGTCGAATGTAAAAATTTAGAGGACAAATAAGTAGTTTAGATTGGAGAAATACATTTGGGAGTTTTAATGTATAGATGCTACTTAAAGGCATAGGACTTTAAATAGATGAGATCACTACAGGAATGAGTTTAGATAGACAAAAGGTCCAAGGATAGAGTCCAGGGCACTGTAGTATAATTCAACAACATTTTGTGACTGGTTACAAGTGCAAAAAAGAGCAATTAATAAATGAGTCTTGACTTTTGAATTTAGCCCATTAGAAAGGTAAGAGTATACTACTGAGAGTAAGAGAAGTTTAGTGAGGTTGATCAGTTTGGAGAGGAGGAGAATCGTTTCAGTCGTACAGTCAAAAAGTTAAATATGTGGAACAGAATCTTGAGAACGGTGTTAGGACTGCTGCTGAGTACTTAAGAGTCATTTATAGCCAGGCTCGGTGGCTCAGCCTGTAATCCTGCGCTTTGGGAGGCTGAGGTGAGTGGATTGCCTGAGGCTGCGGGTTCAAGACCCGCCTGGGCAACTTGGCGAGACCTCATCTCTAGAATAAATCAAAAATTAGCTGGGCGTGGTAGCGCGTGCCTGTAGTTCCAGCTACTTAGAAGGCTGAGGTGGAAGGATTGCTGGAGCCCAGCAGGTCAAGGCTGCGGTGGCTGGGAGCGGTCACTGCACTCCAGTCTGGGAGACAGAGTGAGACTCCAACTCAAAAAAAAAAAAAAAAAGAGTCATTTATAAAAAGATCATTGAAATCTAAGGAAAGATTATATATATATATAGAGAGAGAAAAGAGATATGACTACGGGGTTTAAAGAATACTACAAAAAAAAGGGAGAGGAAAAAGAGAAGTCAAATGGCGCAGTCATATGGAAATAAAAAAGAAATATACAGTTTTAAGAAAATATTTGTGCTTATAATCTCTGTATTTTGGGAGGCTGAGAGAAGAGAAAATATAAATGATTAATGTAAAGTTCTACTGAAAGGTGACAAAAAATGAGTACTGGTAATAAATAGCTGCCTTAAAAAATAAGAAGAGTATAGGTGAGAGCTAATTATCAAAGCACCTCTTCAAAATTAAGACAGAATTACATCCTCTACTTTTCCAATGAGAAATAAATTATTTACATTTGTGTGTATGGTTTCAGTCAGAGTGAAAAATAATACCAAAATTGTATGTGGCTAGGTTTGAAATTTTATCTAAATATCCATTTATTCAAGTTGTGGAATGAGTTCAAAGAAATAGTTTATACCATTCCCATTGGTTAGTATACTATGGGAGGCAAAATCCATGCCTAGAATCACTCACCTGAGAAAACTAAATTTCTGTATCAAAGTTTCAAATTATTTTAGAGAATATTAAAAATGTGGCTATCAAAATTACCT